ACTTCCGGCTTTTTTCTTTTTGCTTATATGGTGCTGAGGAATCGAACCCAGGGCCTCGAGTATGCAAGGCAAACGCTCTACCACTGTGCCACCTTCCCAGCCCTAAGCATTTATTTTTGTGCCAGTCCTGGGACTTGAACTCAGGGCCTAGGCACTGTGGCTGGGTTTTTTTCATTCCAGGTTAGAGCTCCACCACTTGAGCCACGGCTCCATTTGCAGCTTTTTGCTGGTGTGTTGGAGATGAGAGTCTCACAGACTTTCCTATCCAGGCTGGCTTTGAACTGTGATCCTCAGATCTCAGCCTCCTGAGTAGCTAAGATTCTAGACACAACTTAACAGCACCTGACACATTCACTGACTCATACATTTTATTAGGATGGTAAAGGTGAGGTACAGACGGGTGACAGCGACATTTCCTTTTGGTCCCTGTCCCCTCTTCCCTTCACTCTCTCCCAGATTTTCCTTCCGGTCACCACTCACAAGTTTGTAGAGTTCATTTCCATGTTGTACCCAGCACCCTCTGCCCCCCCCCGCCATTTCTGCCTCTCCCCTTGACCCCCCCCAAAGACAGATCAATGAATAAGCAAGACAAAACGAAAAGAAAAACATCAACAGAGAAAAATCCTCTTGTTTCCATCTCCAGTAATCTATTTTTCTAGGCTTACTTCAGCTTAATCCTTAAAGCTACATAACACAGAGCAGTAACAGAACCAATGTCAGACATTGCTTCATTCATTCTTGCAATCGGGGAATTCTAGTTAATAGATTCGCAAGTTCATTAAGGGGCGGGGGGGAGGGAGGGGAGGACAGAAAATCAGATCACCGTTCTCGCCAAAGACATGTTTCAAAAGTATTTTGGCTGCCTTGCACAACTGGCTCACACCTGAAATCCTGGGTCCTTGGGAGGCTGAGAGTTGGAGGATCACCCTTGCAAGGTAGACCCTACCTTAACAATTGAAAGACAAGCCAGGTGTGGTGGCTCACACCTGTAATCCAGGCTACTCAGGAGGCTGGGATCTGAGGATCTGGGTTCAAAGCCAACAGGGGCAGGAAAGACTGTGAGAATCTTTTTCTGGGGGGGGTTTGGTCTTGAGGGCTGAACTCTGGGCCTGGGTGCTGTCCCTCAGCTCTTAAGCTCAAGGCTAGCGCTCTACCACTTGAGCCATAGCGCCATTTCTGGCTTTTTCTGCTTATGTGGTGCTGAGGAATCGAACCCAGGGCCTCATGCATGCAAGGCAAGCGCTCTACCACTGAGCCACCTTCCCAGCCCCA